CTCTCGTAAAGCATTACAAACATCTGGAAGAAGCAATAGATTGAAGCATTTGCGTACATGTTGTACTCAACACGACGGTAAGGTTCTTCGTGCTCGAATTCCTTGTCACCAAAGGCAGTCGGAGTAGCGGCATATTCCACCCAGTGGCTAGCTGGTCGGTCTGCACGCGGCATTGAGTTGGAGCTGTCACCAGCAGCATCCTCCTCCATAGAGTTGTCTGGTGTGCTGTCCCGGCTCGCTGAGGCGACACTATCCTCTTTGTCCTTGCGCGGCTTGCTGCGGGGATCAAGAACATCGCGGCGAAGGTCACCCTTCTTTGTCTTCAGCGAGCGTTGAGAGACGTCTTCATCTGGAGATGGAGTGTCTTCACCGGAATCATTGGGCGTATCACGCCCCGAAGTATGTACCCGCTGCTCGAACTTGGCTGAATCGATGCCGAAGAAGAGGGGAACAAACTCCCGGACAAAGGGCACAACCTTTGCAAATTCAGCCCCTGGGTTGTTATCAGCAAAAGTGAGCATCAAACGAGCCACGTCGAACAGCACTTCTTCATCCTTGAAGGAGAAGGCAAACTGATAGTCTGGCTGCGAAATTTCTTGAATCTGCTGAAGACGCTTTTGTTCCTCATAGCGAACTTGGATCTCGTTTGTAAGCGACTTGGGTTGGAATTGTCGCTTGTCAACTTGCTTGACTGTGATGCTTTGGTGATCAAGAGACTTCCAGAAGATCTTTTGAGTCTGGTCGCGCCATACCTTTTCCCATTCTCGTTGGGCGGCCTTCCAGTCCTCCAGTTTCGTCTTTAACCGATGGAGAAGCACTGGGACTACACTCCAAGGCATCTGGAAGAGCTCTTTGATAACGTCCTTGCCCCGCTCGCGACCATAGATCTTCATGATGACACGCTTGTAGATTGTCTCGCTCTGTCCGCCCAGTCCGGGAGGCAAGGTAAATCCAATCCTGTCTTCAGGCTTCATCGTGAGCAACTGGTTGGCGATGGGCTCGAGCTGCTGGATTGTGCGGCTACAAGCTTCGATGTTGAAGTCATAGTCATGACGCTCTTCTTCAATCCTGTGGAGACCCTCCTCGAATGTGTTCTTTCGATGCGCAACGAATCCAGAATCTTCGGAAGCCCAGGTAGGATGGGAGGCCCATTCGTCGTTCAAGACAGACCGGCAAAGCTCATCACGCCCGCTGCATACGCGTTCCCTTTCACGCCGAGGAAGAAGACGGTAGCTGGGGCCCAAGCTTCTGCAGTTGGACAATGAGACACGGGAATTGACTGTCTTGGGGCGTGAATTTTGCTGCTCTTCATCTTCGCCCATGAACTTCTTGAACCATGCAAAAAGCTCTTGGTTGCCGCCGATGAAGGATTGCGCACGGTACAGGAGAAGTTGCTTGTCGATCAAATCCTGCGAGTAGAGATTGCAGAGCTTCAAGAACTCATTCATGATGTTCTTGTTTCCGATAAACTTCTTGACGCGGTCAAAGAACGCCAGCTCATCTTGGCTAGGAGATGTCGTTGTTGTTGGTGGCATCGGTTCAGGCAGCGCAGGCGTCAAGGTAGGCGAGACTGGTGGACCATCTGGAATCGCCTGCTTTGTAGTATGTCCGGTCTTTGCACGCTTAAGTTGGTTAGCAGACAAACTCTCGTCAGAACATGAAAAACGTTTAGTAACTGCAGCAATTCTGGAACTGGATCTCCTTGGCTCGTTCCGCACATCGGAAAGCGATGGGGAAGGCCATTGCAACGTCAACGCGTGCGAACGACCACTGGGCAAATGAAGCCTGTCACGGCCACCACCATGCACTACGACAACGCTCGACGTGGCAGCGCGCGTGATCATGAGTGGGAGTCAAGGTGGGCGCGACGTTTGAAAAAGGAAAGGACAAGGAGTTGACCGGAGGACGTTGGGGCTGTGCACGTGCATCTTGGAAAAAAGGAACGACTGAAAGCCATGATCCCAGTCTTGCCGATAAAAGTTCAAAAAAAGTCCACGTACCTTGTTGACATTTACCTGGTTATAACCACCGCGGACATTCGAGGTCGGCGGCTCTTGAGACATGGGCGCAGGCATGGGTGCAGCTACTGGTCCCTGTCGCTCACGCTTCCGCTTGTTATCACGGTTCGCTGTAGGTGTGGGTGCGAAGTTGCCCATGGGAGGCAATCGCGAGGTATCCGCGCGACCAGGTGTCTGCTGGTTCGCTGCGACTCCATATCCTGATTCTCCTCTTACATTGCTAAGCATGACCGCATCTTCAGCAGCATTCTTGGCAGCCTGTTGTTGTGCTCTATGGTGAGCGGCAGATTCTGGCAGAAACTGTTTGAAGTCTTCGAGAAGATCTGGCGCGCCGCCGAACAGATGAGTGACTTGAGCGTATACGTCCTGGATAGGTTTCGATTCTCGTTGGTAGGTCTGGAGTATCTCCAAGAAGTTCTTGTAGATATCAGGATGAGCCGCAAATCGATTCTGTACCATAATTAGCATCCGTGCCCGTGGATCCGCTTTGAAATGAGTGTTTATTTACCTTGATCTTGTTGACGTAGCTGATAGCATGATTGAACTCCACTGGTCCTCGTTTCTCGGCTGTAGCCCCGCCCATTTGGGGAAGTTGAGTAGAGCCATTCATCGCTTGTCCTTGAGGGGTAGCAGCGTCAACACTAGGCGACATGAGCGAACGACCAGTAGCAGCAGACACGGCATTTTGCAGCTGCGAGACACCCCTTTGCTCTTGTTGATGAGCTAGCGCGGCGGCTGAGCCAGCAGGGTCAGGATGAGGTCGCGAGGTAACTTCTGGCGAATGCTGTGGGTGGCCCTGTTGTCCTTGTTGTGGTCCATACAGAGGTTGTCCCAGAGTGCGGTTGTTTGGAGAAAACATAGTTTCTTGTCCCTCAGGCCCTTGGGGCCTTTGCTGCTGAGGCCAAGGCCGTCCTTGTGCGGTTTCGTAGTAAGTACCCTCATGCTGTGGAGCGTTGTTGCCGTTAGCGGCACCGCTTCGGGGCGGCGAAAGTGGCCTTGGAGCGGGCATGGTGGAAACCATAGTACCCATTGGCGTAGTGACTCGAATAGCATTTGGATCTCCATTGGTTCCACACTCAATTTTGTAGCCAGGTGGGAGAAATGTGTTGAATCCTTGGATCAAGGCCGGATTACCCGCGAATAGAGTTGATACCCTCTCAATGACACCTGGAGTGTCAATCGCACCGCTTTTAAAGTCTTTCATAATATCGAGGAATCGATTGTAGACGTCTGGGTGATCTGCAAATTGCACCTTGACTTGGTCGAGATAGCTCAATGCGTCATTGAGAATCGGCTGCTGTCCCTGACCCATAGCCATGGATCCCGGAGGACCAGCAAAGGGCATCAGCATCTGAGCTTGAGTCGGCGCTTGCACTGCATGCTGCATACGAGGCGTCGTCTGCTCGTGCTGTGCAGGCGCGTTGCCATACATGGGGTTAGGTGCGTTTTGGTTGCCGCCCATTGGAGGTGCAAGTGAATTTGGCCCGTTCATCTGCCCAGATTGTCCGAGCAAACCATTCGGACCGTGTATCGTTCGTGCGGAAGGGGCGACTGCAACAGGTTGGTGGATCTGCATTGGCGTAGAGTGATTTTGTAGCGCTGCATGCTCGCGCTGCTGGCGCTCATGGAGCTCCCGATCCCGCTGCTCTGCTTCGCGCTTTACAATTTCTTCTTGCTGGTGCATCGGATGCGCCTCCATTTCCCTCTCCCTTGTTTCGCGCTCGCGCATTTCTCGTTCCCTGTCCGCATTCACTTGCTCCGAAGTCGGCAGATGCTGTTGCTGTTGCGATTGGGGCTGCGCTTGCGATTGCTGCTGCTGCTGCTGCTGTTGTTGCAGTGTTTGCGATATCCCTGGCAACGAATATTGGGACCCCTGGGGGCCTTGGTGACCTTGCGCTGCCGCGTCAGAAGATGGTGGTCGCTGAGCGGACATGTGGGGCGACGAGTGCTGAGGTTGCGCAGTCAATCCTGGAAGCGTAGGAAGATTCTGGTTGTGGGCTGTCGCGGCGCTTGAGGAGTAGTATCCACCACCTATGATGAGATTAGCAGTTTGGAGAAAGGCGCGTCCTTTGCATGCGCTACCTACCGGATGGTGGAGGAAGTACTGGCCCTGGACCTTGCGCAGGTGACGCATGAGGTGGGGCCTGTGAATTCGCGTTGTTTGGCCTGTCGTCGATTTCAGAGTCAGCTTGTTTCCAGTCGAATGATAGTAAAAGGCGATTTTGGCAGCCTCTTCGCTCGTGACTGCCATGGTGGGTGGGACAAGTAGAAAGTACGCACCCATAAGGTCCAAGAGGGCGCGGAGCTGGCGCTTGCGCTTGCGCTTGCTCTGTTTGCTGCTGGGTCTGCGCCGACACACCTGCCTGTGCCGGCGGCCACCCGTCTCGATGCGCTGGATTCATGTCGGCTTTACCAGGCTCGCCGGCTTTAAGCAGATTCGCGTGGCCGAGGAGATGAACGCGTTGGGATGGCTTGAGCGGGTTAGAAACTGGTGGAGCTCATGGACGGCTCGCGATGTTATGCAGGAGGGTGTCGGGGTCTGTAGGGTCTGAGACTAGATCTTGGGCGATCGTTGTTGATTAGGAGGAGCAGGGCAGCCCGAGCTGGTGCTATCGCCGGAGCTGCTCGGCGAGTCCGCCAGGAGAATATGGAACGATGCCGCGGGGATATGCGACAGTATTAAGCGACTCAAAAAGGCGTGATCAAGCAGGGACGAGAGTAGTCGCGATGATGGAATGGTGGTGGCATCTGGTTTCTCTGTCAGGGACCGGCGGGATAACTGGTCGGCCCGAAGGCGGTCAGTGGCAGAAAACCAGCGCGTCATTCAGCCGAGCAACGCAACTGCACGGTTACTATGGCTTGTGGCCGCTTGTGATACATAGTTGCATCCAAACGTTATTGTCCACACACACACACACACACACTAAGTTCTATGGTTATTGTGACACATAAATGAAACTAGCACTTTATCGCCCAAAACATGACGCTGTTTAAATATAGATTTCGACATGTGATTAGTACGCTTTGATGCTACCAATGTTTACTAGATGTTACCCATACTGGAGGACTTTCAACTGTCCTCTCCCTAGCGATCAGCCCTACAACTATACTCTCATCCGCAATATGATTTCTCCCCTTTCTGAAAAATGCCAACAATCCATACTACTGTGTACGGTGCCCTTGACCTCAACATCTTCAACAGACGGAGCGTCACAGCTCTCACGAAGCCGATTCAGCGCACCAACAACGCCTTAGCAGCCGCTGAGAATATTCAACATATAAAAAACTCGTGGTACTCATAACATTGTCCTCTCTGCCTAGAAGATCCATTGAAAGCTCTCCTTGACCTCGAAGCTGACCTTTGCCCTGTATAAATTGTCAGTATTCTGTTCGTCGGAGCAAAGTGTATGCTAAGGCATAAAAAACACGTACCTGATATCAGCGCTGCTCGCGCCAATCAACACGTCAAAAACTCCCTCTTCCGCAATCCAAGCACCAGTCTGGCCCAGACTTGTGTCAAAGTAGCCCACTGAGTACTTGTTCAATTTCAAGACAACGTTCTTGGTCTCGCCTGGTTGCAGGAACACCTTGCCGAAAGCTTGCAGTTCCTTTTCTGGGCGTGGAAGCGTGGACTTGACATCCTTGACGTACCCTTGGACAATTTCGGGGGCAGCTACCGAACCCGTATTGGTAACGGGTACAGTGATGGTAATGTCGTCGCTTTCGGACAGAACATCGCTACTGACGCTTGGTGTTCCATATTCGAAGCTGGTATAGGTGAGGCCATGGCCGAAGGGAAAAAGTGGTGCGATCTTGGATCGCTCGTAGTGCCTGTAACCCACATAGATGCCCTCTCCGTAGATAGTCTTTAGGTTCTCACCAGGCCAGTTGTGGTAGGCTGGATTGTCTTCGATCCGGACTGGGAAAGTCGTTGGCAGCTTGCCACTAGGACTGCTGTTTCCAAGCAGAACGTCTGCAAGCGCATTTCCAGCCTCTTGGCCTTGGTACCATGCTTGCAAGATTGCGGGGGCTTTGTGCACCCATGGCATAGTGACTGGTGTTCCAGACTGGTTGACAATGACTGTTCGGGGGTTAGCTGCCAGGACAGCTTCGATCAGACGGTCTTGAGAGCCATTCTTTGGAAGGTCCATTGTTTGGCGATCGTATCCTTCTGACTCCCACTCTGCGTCCAGTCCAATTACCACGACAGCGACGTCGGCATCGCGTGCAACGTCTGCAGCCTCTTGTAGGCGATCGATCTTGTCTTCTTCTTGATAGCCGATACGGCAACCACCATAGTCATGACGCCTGCCAATAACGGAAACCTTTGAGGCGGGCCGTACTTCGCTGGTGCTCTCAATAAGAATCTCGACGGGCTTGCCTTCCTCTAGGTAAATCGACTTGAGTACATCCTCAGACGCTGAGAACATCGCTTCACCTTCCTCGGTCCAATCCCAGTTGTCAATAAACAACTCACCGTCGATAAACATGCGGCCTGGTCCCACTGAAGCGAAACTGAAGCTGTGGTTTCCACTCGACTTTGGTGTGAGTGTAGTCTTAACCTTGAACGAAAAGTCGGGAAGTAGCTCCATAGGCGCCGAATCCCATAGCCAGAGATCTGTGCTTACTTTGTGCTGAACAACAACAGGTTCGCCCTTGAATCTATCTCCCTTGTAGTATTCCAATCGCACACCAGTCTCGCCATTTGATTTGCAGTAGGGAGAGGCCAATGGCAGCCACTTTGAGCTGTCGCAACCTTGCGCAAATGAGAGCACGCCATCGAATCGATTCTGGAGGCCTTGCCAGGGTGTGACGTTGTAGTAAGGGTTCAAGCCAGCGCTCCCTCCACCACTGGCAATCGCACGCTTGGCATTTGGTCCGATCATTGCAATCTTCTTCGCATCCCTAATCGGCAAAACGTTGTTCTCGTTCTTCAGTAGCGTCAAACCTTCAATACCAGCTTGGAGAATCAGATTCCGGGTTTCGATGTTGTCGATTGACCGCTCGGGTTCTTCGGGTGTCATGTTGTTGAGTCCTTTGACCCGATCGACAAGGTAAAGTACCCTGGCAGCGGATTCCTCAATGTCCTTGGGGGTTAGCTCACCATTGTCGAGACACTCCTTTACTTGCTCAACTTTGCGCCACTTGGATGGGCCTGGCATTTCGATGTCGACGCCGGCTTTGATTGAGGGCGCAGTTGCATATGTGCCCGTCCAGTCAGAGATGATGGCTCCGTTCCATTTCCACTCGCCTCTGAGGACTTCCTTGATAGAATGAATGTACTCATCAGCATGAACACCATTGACCATGTTGTAAGAACTCATGAGCGCCCATGGTGATGCGTCTCGGACAGCAATCTCAAAAGGCTTGAGGTAGATTTCACGCAGCGGCCGCTCTGCAATAATGGCATCGTATGCCTGTCGCTCGGTCTCTTGCTCGTTTCCGAGAAAGTGCTTGATGGTAGCAGCAACACCCTTACTCTGAAGACCACGAACATAGGAAGCAGCAAGCTTTCCAGTCAGGAAAGGATCCTCAGAATAGGACTCAAAGTTGCGGCCTCCGAGAGGAGATCGGTGCATGCACACAGTGGGTGCAAGCAACACCTGTGCACCACGAGCCTTTGCCTCTTCACCAAGGTGACGGCCAACCTCTTCAATCATGTCCAAGTTCCACGTGGATGCCATGGATATGCCGCATGGAAATAGAGCAGCCTAGCTTCGTCAGCTTGAACCGGGTTAGCGCCAAGCCGGAGTACGTACAGGTGTGCCGTTAGTGAAGAACTCTCCGCGAGCGCCATTGGGTCCATCCGAAGTCTTGATTGACGGAATGCCCTTTTCAGGAATAGCCACGGTGCGCCAAAAGTCAGCTCCTGCAAGCAACGAAATCTAAACAAGGTCAGCCTGACTTCGCTATAGGTCTCTTTCCGCCTCTTTCATATGCTCAAGAACGCCAGACGGCACCTTGGCCCGGCATGAAATGCGCTATGCTTGCATTGCCGAATCCCATCTAAAAAAAAAATGCCGGAGTCGCTTGCTGCAAGCTCACAAAAGGCATGAGAGCCTCAAACCGATGTGTTTGTGAAGAGATGAAACTTTCACAAACAACAGCCCAGTGCAGAATAGCCAATAGAAATGCAATGAATGCTCATTTCTGACACTCCCGTGCTTTTTCCAAGACAACAATAGCACAACGTACCTGTTCCTCCAGGGTTAGCTTGGCAGCAAGGTTCCTCGCCTTGTCGTCAGGCCTCTCCATTGAAAATAGCTTTTTGCCCGCCATTGGTTCGTCGTCGGCTGGGGAAACGTCCTCGGGCGTTGCAGCAGGAGTCAAGAGGGGAGTGTCGAGGGTCAGAGGCTGGATCTGGATGGCCGGGTGCTTTAAGTCGATTTGCTTGATATCATCTGTAGGACTAGCGTTGCCCAGGTTAATTGTAGCCATTGTAGATCTCCTCAAAGGCTGAATTAAATGATTCGATGACTTCGGGATATCTGGGGCGGTTTGCCGCGCTTCTCGCCACGTGCAACCAGTGCGAGTGAAGCGAGCGATCAAATGAAATCAAAAGACGACGAAAGCGAAGGAATAGGAGATGGAGATAAGGCTAGAGGTATGCGGTAGACTTTGAAGATGGTCAACTGAGGGACGTGGTCATCTTTTAGTACCCGCCGCAGCGTTGTTAGTTGATCGTCTGCTACTCCAACAACGCATGGGCCCAGAAAGAGGACGCTCGAATGCCGGTTCAATTGGAAACAAGCCTTGTACCTTGCTACGGCTCGCACGTCTCAGGTATCCGACAGCGCGATTGGTTGCCGGCGGCAATCAACCAACGTTGAACGTACTTGCTTAGACCCGGCTCGATCTGAATGTAGGTAGGGCGGGAGGCTCGTGTTGTGGTGTCAATCTAGAGCTTGCCGTGCGGCTGGTACTGGCGGCACCCGACGCTAGTATGCTGCAAAAGTCATTGTACCGCTGCAAAAGCTTTGTAAACCCCCCCCCCACTGACGGCTCTTATCTCGACCAAGTATACAGCCCAGGTAGTTCCACGTACAAGCAGTGCAAGAACAGGTGACACGCGGGTGGAGCTCTGCCAATGCATGCCACGCAGAGGAAGCGATTCCCCAGCCAGGGTCAGCAGCATCGAGATTGACTCGTTGCCTCCTTCTTTGTTAAACGGCGGTGATGGCGGTCCTGAACTTCCGAAGCTAGGCTGGCAGGCAGTCGGAGAGCCGTCTGCAGGGCATTTTAGGCGGCCAAAGATGGCACAGCTGAGGTGAATGCCAATCAGTGGTGGAACAATATGGTTGTGAAGAGGTTGCGGCCCGGGAGGCGGGAATGTTAAGCGGGAAACCGGGCCAACGAGCCGTTTTGCATGTTAGCTGCATGTCACGTTGGCCAAGTCTCCCGTTGTGCGCCACACGAGGGGTTGGTTGATTATGGTTCATCGAGGATGTGACCAGACAATCGGAGCGTGGCCATCGCAACGCCGTCTCGTCGGTCGGAAGTGGCCCTGCCACGGTGGTAGTTTCATTTCCGATCAGAACGAGGGCATGGCCAGGGCGTCTTTACCGCGTTGTATGCCTAGTGCAGGTACGTTGCTTACTGGCGACACACCACCATATCTAGTCATCATCATCATCATCATTGTCCTTGTCAAGGTTCACAATGAATGCTTGCGTCAAGTGATGCATGACATCAACGACCTGACTTAGTCGTCAATCTACGCGCGGTATCAACTGCAAGAGCAACATATGAATGTATACTGTCCCTCATTTGGACCAAACCCTGTTGGATATTGCTGCGAAACGCCGGTGCATTCAAGTATATCTGGGCTCGATTGAGAGTGCAAGGTTGCCCCAACTTGCCAAACCAGACCATGGCTTTTGCATGCGCACTGCCCACCTTTTGATACTATCATTAAGTTGGAGCTCCGTCACACCGGACGGGGGAGGAAATACCACCTATGTTGCGCATACCCAGAGCTACTGCCCAGGTCAAAGCACCGAAGTACCGCCAGATTGAGCAGATCAATTACCTAGTCCTTGCACAGACAACACAAGAGACGGAAATTTTGTCCATTCGACAACATATGAGTTTAATCATGTGCCGAGCAGATCCATGCCAACACCTGATTTCTATATTCATCCATGGCGGAAACCCTCACCGAAACTTGTCTTTGATATCCGATATCCATGCTTCCGTACACCCGTGACTAGGCAACATGCCTGTGCAAACATATTGTGTCTTTGTACTCGATTGACTGGTACCGGGCCGACAAGCCATCATCCTGCCAAAACATGCGAGGCAGCCAGAATCGACACCGAGGTCTGTCTCAGACATCTCAACATGTGCAATTCTCTCTACTCAGCCAAGTCGTTTTAGTCATTGAATGTAAACTTTGATCGAATTGTATGGAAGATGTTGTATGCTTTAGATGAACTTATTGGACAACATCATTGCTTAGTGCTCTCGTCATCAACGACCCAGTCAACGACATGTGGTTACCCTCTCTTTGCTTGACATATCCAGCTACCGTCCTCAACAATCAAATCTACCAATCCTCATCGGCTTTCCTCCCATGCATAGCTGCTTGTCTCTGCCTCAGTGCTTCTGCAAGCCCACCAGCGATACTACCGCTACTGTCTCTCGCACTCTCCATGGTACTGCCGCCGCTACCGCTGTATCCGCTATCTCTGCCAGAATCACCATTGACGGCTTTTCTCGCAGCGGGACGTTTAGCGGGGGGAGCAGGTGGTTTGGGCTTACCGTTCGCAGGGCGAGCGGGCGGCGCTGGGGGTGGGGCGGGAGCAGATGTGCGGTCAACGACTTCCTCAAGGTAAGCAGATGGTGCCCAGCCAGACGCAGATTTGTCAAGACGGGAAGCCAACCACCATCCTGTAGTTTATTTGTTAGTCACGTACTCATTACTTGGTTCCTCATTGGGGCAGAGATAACGTACCATTGCTCTCCTTCTGCGTGACCAGAATGATTTCGTCCTTTCCGAGACTTAGCTCGCCGGCACTTTGGCCTGCAAAATCATACAGTGCCTTGTACCGAGGCTCCTTCGGTTGGGCTGGTGGTGCAGCACGCGCTTGTGGCATAGGAGGAGGTGGGGGTGGTGCGCGTGCTGAACCCGCCGAAACCTCGCGTGTGTGCGAGCTGGTGCCATTCGACAACGCAGCGACTGGATGTGGGACGGGTTTAGGTTGAGATGCAGCAGGCTGTGGCACAGCTCTCGGTTGCGCTGGACGAGACGCGAGCTTTGAGGGACCTCCGCCTGGGCCACCGGGCCGTAGAAGTTTACCCTTTGTGATGGGCTTTGCAGCGACCTGCTTACCTTTGGGGGTAGGCTTCGACACAGAGTTGGCTGGCTCTCCCGGGCCAGTGTGAATAGTACCACTCTTATATAGGTCGTCTCTCGGTACTGCAGGGTCTTTGACTACCTTGACTTGAGCCGGCTTGCCAGGCTTCTTGTTGTACTCGATACTGCAACTATGTTAGCCTTCCTATATGCTTCTCCACATGATCAACTTACGTCTCGCCTATTCTCAGTGTCAGAGCGCCTCGCAGTACGTTGTGGAGCTGTGTGAAGAACTCAGTCTTGAACACGCAGTTGACAAGTGGATCGGGTTCCGTTTGTGAGCCTGCACCGATCGAGAACCAGTCGTCCTTGAGGGTGGAACAACTAATGAACTTGATTGCGCCCACTGGGATTGTCCTCTCGGCTTGGATCTGGACTTGTCGGTTGACCATGACCTGCTTTATGAGATAGACATTCTTCTTGGTAAGCACCAGCATGCGAGCCTCTGGTTTACTCGATCGACCAAGCTTCGACACAAGCACTTCGGCTCGGCACGAAAATGGTACCTCCTCGCTGGATGATATGCCAACGGCTTGAGCAATGATCTCGCCAGGACCGCCGTGATTTCCGATGCCAAGATAGTCTCCCATAAACCTTCGGGATCCAATCAAACTGTACCTTCTTCTCTCTTTTCGGCCTTGAAGAATGGTGTGTCCTTGATCGCGCCACTCGATGAACTCTTTGCCTCCGTTGAGCTTTCGCCAGAATCGTTGTATTCGAATGGCGCATTCTGTTCGGTAACGCAAATAGTTTCTCCAAGCTCGCTGAATGCGGATAGCCATATTATGCCAGTACCGATCGCGCATCGTCTCCAACGCAAACAGTGTTTCCGGGGTCTTGATGAAAACCTTTGTCGTTCCTATTTGGTACTCTTCCGCGGGTATGTTGGTGTCCTTCAGGATCGTCTTGGCTCCAGTCTCATAGTCACCCGTCCAAGTGTATTCACCAGCATAAGAGCACTTTGGCGACAGCAGGAAGAATCGTTCGACAAACTTGTCAAAGGTTTGACGTGACGCAAAACCGGCTCTTCGGATCCGTACGTTTTCTTGCAGACCAAGATATTTGACCTGGTGAAGCACATTTGAGTCGTTGTATTCCTTGGGCGACTTGTTTTCGTTGGGCTTGATGGTACGGATATAGGACGGGCGGGCTTGCATCAAAGTGGTCACTAGGTCGTTGGCAGACGCCTTGATCTTGTCTCCAGCCGTTGGCGGTCGCCGCCTGTTGTCTTGGTCGACTTGGTTGGGGAAGAGGGTGTGAACGAAAGTGTTGGAACTTTGACTAAGCAGGTTCAACAGATCCTTGAGCAGCTGGTCCTTGTTCTTGTCAGTCATTCCATCAATTGCATACGACACATCACCAGCGTAATGCTTGATGACGAACTGGCCCTGGCGAGGCTGGAAGTTGGGATTCGAGGATAGAGCGTTGAGCCTCTGGACAAAAGTCTGATCTGCAGCAGTCGGGTCCGCGTGCGCCGTCGCACAAGCATCGTTCAGGGCAGCAAAGACACCCGGTGGGCGCTTCTCCTCAATCAAGTCGCAGACAATCTTGTTGTCAAAGTATTTGATGGGCGTCCACTTGATCTGTTCTCGCTCGTACTCTTCTTGCTCAGCCTTCAACGTCAGCTGGATGAAGATTTGCTGGAGTTTCTCGTTGACGTAGTTGATGCACAACTGTTCGAAGCTGTTCTTCTCGAAAATCTCAAAGCCGTAGATATCGAGAATACCAATGGAATGCGCAGTTTCTCCCCGGGCTTTCAGGGATAAATTAACACGCTCTACAATCCAGTCAAAGAGGTTGAAGTAGATGCCCTTTGCGAGTGCGTCTCGAACTGCGCCTGCTTGCGCACAGTTCAGAGGTACGTCGTACACGGAGCCTCGTCGTCCTCCGCGACTTGTTTCCATGATGCGAATTGTGAGCGCCTTGTTGACGTGCGCCGCGTCAACTTCGAGTAGGTATGCTACAAAATCCACCACAGATTGGTCTACAATGGCCGCATTGCCCTGGTCGTCTTCTCGGAAAGATACGTTTCCTAACCAGAGGATAGCTGCAAGCATTCGGAAAATGTTATCTTGTTCCGCCT